TAAGATGGATAGAAAGATGGCTACAAGCCCGGGCCCAGCGAGTAGTGATAAATTGCTCGATGTCAGGATGGCGGTCGGTTTCTAGCAGAGTGCCCCAAGGTTTTGTTCTAGGACTGGTTTTGTTCAATATCTATATTAATGACCTGGATGAGGGGTTGAATTGCACCCTCAGCAAGTTTGCGGATCACACTAAGCTAGGGAGAGAGGTAGAAGGATCCTATCTTGAGGGCAGAGATAGGGTCCAGAGTGACTTAGACAAATTGGAGGATTGGGCCATAAGAAATCTGATGAGGTTCAACAAGGACAAGTGCAGAGTCCTGTACTTGGGACGGAAGAATCACAAGCATAGTTACAAGCTGGGGACCAACCAACTAAGTAGTTGTTCTGCAGAAAAGGACCTGGGCTTACAGTGGATGAGAAGCTGGCTATGAGTCAACAGTGTTCCCTTGTAGCCAAGAAGGCTAATGGCATATTAGGTTGCATTAAGAGGAGCATTTTCAGCAGATCCAGAGATGTCATTATTTCCCTTTATTCGGCTCTGGTAAGGCCACATCTAGAGTATTGTGTGCAGTTCTGGGCCCCCCACTACAAAAAGGATGTGGACACATTGGAGAGGGTCCAGTGGAGGGCAACCAAAATGATTAGGGGGCTGGAGCATATGACTTATGAGGAGAGGCTGAGGGAGTTGGGTCTGTTTAGCCTGCAGAAGTAAAGAGTGAGGGTCGATTTGATAGCAGCCTTCAACTTCCTGATGGGCGGTTCCAAAGAGGATGGAGAGAGGCTATTCTCAGTAGTGACAGATGGCAGAACAAGGAGCAATGGTCTCAAATTGTGGTGGGAGAGGTCCAGGTTGGATATTAGGAAAAACTATTTCACTAGGGCCGTGTCCAGACTCAGGGGTTTTTTCGGGAAAAGTAGGCTTTTCCCGAAAAAACTTCCCCTGCGTCCAGACTCAAGCCGCGTTCTTTCGATGGCGGTAAACCTCAATTTACGAGGAAGAACGCCTTCTTTCGAAAGTTCCTCTTTCGAAAGAAGGCGTTCTTCAATGTAAATAGGGCTTCTTCGAAAGAGAGCATCCAGACTCGCTGGGTGCTCTCTTTCGAAAAAGCGGATTTCTCTTTCGAAAGATCCGCCTGCAGTCTAGACGCGATCTTTTGAAAGAGGCTCTTTCGAAAGATGCTTTCGAAAGAGCCTCTTTCGAAAGAAGCCTGCAGTCTAGACATAGCCTAGGAGGTTGGTGAAGCACTGGAATGGGTTACCTAGGGAAGTAGTGGATTCTCCGTCCCTAGAGGTGTGTAAGTCTTGGCTTGACAAAGCCCTGGCTGGGTTGATTTAGTTGGGATTGGTCCTTCCTAGAGCAGGGGGCTGGACTTGATGATCTTCTGAGGTCTCTTCCAGCTGTATGGTTCTATGATTCTATGATTCTAGTGGTGTTTAAAGGCTAAATGCAGTTTGAATGTTCTGACTAGAGGGGATGCACATAATAGCTATAGAGAAGGTGCCAGTGAAATTATTTGTATTAGAGAAATAGGAGTATATTTCAAAGTGGTGGGCGTGGATCCTGGTATGCGATCCTCAGAGGGAGATAAAACCCCCCATTCCATGGCACTTTTGATTTTTCTTTTTCACACAGTGAATCCTTTTTATACTTAATAAACTTATGATGATATTTATAGGCTAAAGCTTCCCAGTCTCACATAATTACATGCCACAAGGTCTCTGAAAGACAACATATTATTAATTTTATTAGCAATTATATTGTTTTCTGTTTTAGACCATTTTATCCTTTTTTTTTTGTTGAACCCCAAACTTCAAGGGGGAAAACACCTAATAAACAAGCCAACTGTTGCAGTTAAGAAAAGATCTCTGCTGACATGAACCTTCACTGCCACAGTCTCATAGAATCGCAGTCAATGGGAACTTAAATATATTTGCTTCCAGCATCAGTGAAGAAAACATATTTTATGCAACAAAATGTTACAAACAATTAGTCTACTTTGATCTAGTAACTCGTTTTCCCTGCCTATTATTATTTGGAGAGAATAATCTAGTTGTTTTGGTCATAACTGAACTAAATGCATGCATGCTTGCAATATCGTTATGTGGCTTTAGAAGAAGTAATAATATAATTGAAAAAATGCAGGGGTCTGATCTTCCTTTCCTTTTTAAGAGGCTCTATTAACACAGCTATTGAAGAATGGGATCCTTAATGATCTAATCAATAATTACTATCATTTCTACATTAGTAGTATTACACGAACTCCAACATTTAAAAAAGGATTACACCAATCCTAGCAGAAGCAGTATGCCTTATAATACTCAAGTTTAAACTGAATATAAATAGTTCTGTGTGCAACTTCTCAATAAAGACTAGTATTAAGGAAGAAAACCAGTTTCGAATGGGTGAACATATATATATTACTGGGGGATTCAAGAAACCCAATAGGAGGCTAACTGCCTTGTCACAGTTAAATCTCTTGGGAAAAGTAAGAAAACAGCTTACTGGAAAACCTAGATTTTTTTTAAAGTTCTAATGATGCAAAAGCTGCATAATAATCTCTCTGTGAACCACAAAAATAATAAAAGCTGAGGCCATTTCTAACATAATCTCTATCAGCAAGATGCCAGCGCTTTCCCAGATTTCCTAACGGGTCCCTGCTAATTCCATGCCAAAACTAGCAGTGGATTTCTTCCTTTTAATCTCCCCTAATGCCTTATTCGATTATTGTCACTGCTCTCCGACCATGCGTCGTTCCTTCAAACTCTAATTCTCCAACTGCAACAGTCAGACAAGGCAGAACCGTGGTGTAGAAACACGCACACACAGACAGACACAGAGTGGGGGAAAAGAAGAACCAGAAGAGGAAAAAACAAACACCATCTGTACAACTGCACGTTTAAATCATAAACCATCAGGAATTACCAGGAGTGAGAGGAAAAGATGGAGTATGAAACTTGCTCCAGTTGACTAAGCAAAAGAATATCTGGGAACTCTGTCCATAGTGCTGGACCATGGCTTTGTTGATCTCTTGGTTATGCATCACTATATGGTAAGTAAACTTTTCAACAATACTCAAGACAATCAAAAACTAAGAAAACTCTCCTGCCTGGGGTTAAGTCAATTATGGAGAGGGACGGGTGGTGGAATGTATGTTTCCTGGTATGTTTCACTGATGGCCCTGGCTAAAGAAAAGCAACTTTTGACTTTGCACAGAAGGGAAAAGACTGGTTAAATGATGGCATTGTTGGTGTATTAATTTCAGTATAGACAAGGTGCTGGGGAGCCAGACTGATGAAGGGAACCTGTACTCAGAAAACATTACGCGGATTCTGGACAAGTTGTTGGATGGATATGACAACAGGCTCCGACCTGGATTCGGAGGTAGAAGAAACCCAATATCTTAAACTGTAGCTGCCCCCTCCCCTTTTATCTTATCTGTTGTTGAAAAGTAAATCCCTCAGAGAGAGGAAACAACTCTATGCCTTGGATTCCTACCCCCTTCTCTTATGGAGAGTCACACTAGTGGAAGGTATTTTCCCCCCAAATGCTTCAATTTAGATGTGTCATTTCCAAATAGATATGGGAGACTCCCAGAAACTTAGTATCTAAATGTGACCCCCTTCATAATGGAGTTGTTGATAGGAGAAATAATTGCCTTTTATTTACATAAAATGTTAAAAATCCAGAAGCAAGAGATCAAAATGACAATTGTTTATTCCCCATGTATAGTTTGTTTTGTAATGACTATGGAAAAAGTTCCTGAATAGCAGCTTTGCTGTGTCTTGGAGCCACACTCATGTAATAGGCAAGTTGCTGTGTAGGTGTACAGATTGTTGAGTGAAATAGTCAACAGCATACATCTCTTTACTTCTGACCCCTGCAATGCTCAGAGCTTGTTTGAATACCTGCTAGGTGCTGTTACAGAAGTCAAAACGGACATCTATGTGACCAGTTTCGGTCCCGTGTCAGATGTGGAGATGGTAAGACTGATTATGAATCATGTACAGCAGGGGCTTCATTTTTGGCATTCTTGCCACACAAATTGTGGGATCTTTCTAGCATAGGAGCTTCACTTGTCCCTGGCCCTGATCTTGTTTTTCAGGATTCATTACAGTGGCATCTGAGTGGACTGTCATTAGAGCAGATTACGAGGCTTAATCTTCTTGACAATCTCTGTCTCTGAGGGACAGAGAGCATTTTACTGTTGGGTTGCATATAGCTAGTTCCACTATATCCAGGGCAGCAGGTTTGAGTAACTTTTGATGGCTCCCAGAACAGTAAGAGGCCCAACCCCACCCCCACTTACCTGGTAAACCAATATCTATTTTTAAAAATAATGTAAAAATGGATTAGAAACAGCATTTAACAGTTTCCCTGTATTGCACAATAGGGAGAGTTGGAGGGATGAAGGGCTCTCAGGTGTGTCAGGGGACTTCAGACTAGGGTAGAGGGTTGGGATATAGAGGGATAAAGGCTCTGGGTGGGACAGGGGATGAGGACCAACATTACTACATATACCACTACACCTGGGAGAAGCTCTGAAAGAAGAGTTGCTCACATGCAGTAAATGCAATAACAAGTCGTGCTGAGGAGTGCTAGCCATGGGCCAGCAGGAGGCTGCATTGCACACAGGGATGTCAATGGGGAAAGAAGCTGGCTTAGAGGAAGGGAGGAGGAGGACAAGTGGTGAAGCTGTTTGCAGTGAGAAGATAGGAAAACAGCCCGAGTTTCTCCCCTCCAAAGTAGAGACAGGGAGGAGGAAGCATGGGGGAGAGGGCAGGGTGGAGTGCCCTGGCTATAGCCACAACCAAGTAAAAGAAAAGCAAAGGAGAGGAAGAGAAGGAAAAAGCCCAAAGAATGTACTGCTGTACCTCCAAACTCGTCAGCTTGCTGCTGGTATATGGTGGGATACTCCAGGAGAGAAGTGTGGTGGTGGCAGGCAGGGCTAGGGGATGCTCAGGGGCAATACATAGGGGTGACAGGTGGGGTTGGGGAGAGACCTTGCCAAAACATTGGTGGAGCCAGTCCCCAGGCTCAGAATATTCCTGGAGCCTGGACACCATGGGCTCATAGAAGTTACTATCCCTTGGTTATGTCAACCTCATGGATCATGCAGTTTCAGCATGTAATTTCTGTGACATTTGTAAGGAAAATTGGAGAGCAATGTCTTGCAAATAAGTTTAACAAGCTAACGCAATGAGAGTGATTGCTGATTTGTTGAGCTATGATAAAATGAAACAAATAATAGGTTAAAGATGCAGCAACAATGCATCCATTAGGAATGAGCAACCCATTAGGAAGATTGCAGACATGTGCTACAAAGCATAGATTTACAGTAGGGCTACGTATTAGGAAACAGACTAACAGGCATGCTATAATAAAATAAAGCCATGAGTGAGTAAGGAAGGCTGAGGAGCTCATCACTTTTCCTTTTCTCAGTAGAACCTGGAAGCTATAAAGTGTGGCACCTAAATATATGTAGCTGCAGACTCCTATAAAAGTTATTTGTTTACTACAATATATATAGAAACCTATAGCAAAAGTTTATCAAAACTGCTCCCCAAATAATCACAAAACATATTTTCGTTCTAGAAATAGTGTTCACTCTCCAGCTATGTTTCAGTTTTGATATGTGAATACTGAGTCACAGTCTCATTTATATTCTAACTTGGGTGGCTAGCTTAGATGTCTATAGTTGAGCTTTTGCATAATTTATTTCAGTGCTTAAGTATGAAAGTAGGAGACAGACTTTATATACTTCTGTTGAAAAGTTTGAACATGTACATTAGAAAAAGTTTTTGCAAACATTAATTTGCAATAGTACTATAAAATAACTTGACACATGCTGTGTAATCACACTATAATTAATATGTATATGATTATGTAGCAAATATGCAAAATAAGCTGAATAAGAAATATTGAGGGCATTTTTTTTCTATTCACTGTCACTAAGTACTGAAAGTTTCTCTTAGCAGTTACAAAGCCTATTAAATTAGATATTTATATCTCCTTACAAATGAAGTCATTTAAATTAAATTAAGTTTTGTGAGAACAAAATGAACTTTCTTTGTATTCCCATCCAATTATCTATTCTGTGATTAATTTGCAGCTCTTCATTAAAATAGTAAGAAAATAGGGGTATATCTACACTGCCACCCTAGTTCGAATTAGGGTGGCTAATGTAGGCAATCGAAGTTGCAAATGAAGCCCGGGATTTAAATATCCTGGGCTTCATTTACATCTTGCCGGGCGCCGCCATTTTTAAATCCCCGTTAGTGCAGACTTCGTGCCCGTGGCTACACACAGCATGGAGTAGGTAGTTCGAATTAGGCTTTCGAGTTACAAGGTGTAACGGTAGTTTGAATTAGAGAGCCTAATTCAAACTACCTACTCCGTGCTGCGTGTAGCCGCGGGCACGGAGTCCTCACTAACAGGGATTTAAAAATGGCGGTACCCGGCAAGATGCAAATGAAGCCCGGGATATTTAAATCCCGGGCTTCATTTGCAACTTCAATTGCCTACATTAGCCATTCTAGTTCAAACTAGGGTGGCAGTGTAGACATACCCTAGGATATTTTTCTTATATACTGACTTTTTTAAGTAAGTACTTAATGATAATAGGATTAAAGTGACTAAGCAGTGGTGAATTAAATGTGGTTAACTGGTAGTAGGCCCTCCACTGAGATATAGTAGGTCAATCCTGTTAGTCATGACCTCTAATTAGTTTATTTTCATGTAGGAATACACAATGGATGTCTTCTTTCGGCAGACATGGATAGATGAGAGATTGAAGTTTGGTGGGCCAACTGAAATTCTTAGACTGAACAATTTAATGGTCAGTAAGATCTGGACACCAGACACCTTTTTTAGAAATGGAAAAAAGTCAATTGCTCATAATATGACAACTCCTAACAAACTTTTCAGAATTATGCAGAATGGAACTATTCTCTATACAATG